CAACTATTGGATGGTCACCCACCCCCCACCGGCTACTCCTTCTTCTTCTCCAACCATTGGTACAAGCTGGTTCTTCATCTAGCCGCAAACGTTCTTCCATTTTCTTCATGTATAATAGGTTCTTATAGGTTCTTCATTTTCTTCATCTCCAAGCTTCTTCCGTCATTTTCTCCATGTCCAGGTTCTTCAGTTTCTCATCTAATGGTGCACCTCTTCATTTACCCTCACGCTTCACATCACCAACACCTTTCGGACCTGAACAAAATGGTTGTAGAACGACATCTCCTTCGCCATGATGAACATCATCGCCAATGTCAGTCAAAAGTTGTGGATGCTGAAGGGGTACTCGTTCTTCTTCTTCAACAGTTGTAGAAGCAGGTTTGTCATCTGCAGGTTGTTGATCTTCTTCATCTGCAGGTTCTTCATGTTTTTCATCTGCAGGTTGTTCATGAAATGAAGGAGATTGTTCTACCTTTCGATACTTCAGACGATCACCAAGTACCTTCCTAACAGCCGCAATTTCATCTCTGACTTTTCTTATCTTGGCGTTGTTTGTTCTCAGTTTTTCCAAAGTGGCTAATAGCCAATTTTCATCATATTCATTTTTCATCAGCATACTTTTTCTTCCCGCTTGGGAACCTCAACGCCTCACTCCCCCCTCATCCAAATTTAAAGCACGACCCTTCATGATGGGATGTAAACAATCATTCTCACTGAGGTACCAATCGAATTGTACTTTGACATGACAATAATATACCACAATCACATAAAACACGCAAAAATCATTAAACCATAACAACATAACTTCATAACCAAAGTTACTTAACCCTCTGCAAGTCTTAAACAAACACTATTTTTTTTTGTTGTATAATTTAACGAGAAAATCGCCTAACGCCGGAAATTCTTGGCAGAATAATCATCATGCAAACCAAGTCCGTTCATACGCCCAAAGCTACAGTGACAACAATCAAACTAATCACAACAGTTATTACTATGGATTGAATTATGCAACAACAACCATATAAATCATACCTGTAAAACAACAGCATTCCCCTTATTCTCAATGATCAGCAACTCCAGAAAGTAGTTTCCTTATTACATCTATTTGACTATCTACAAGATATGTATTACAATCACTACTACTGCCATCAACTAACAAAACTGTCTACGCTAAGAAGGTCATCTAAGCTAAACAAGTCCATGTTCGACACATATCTTGCCTTCCTGGAAAAAAGAACACCACAAACACAAACTAATCCATACAAGCGACACAACCCCATCTACCTCACTATCATCATTCCCTACAAGCACATTGAAATATGTATGAGGTCTGTCAATTTCGTACATTTTTAATTAAAGGATTCACACAACTTTACCCACAACTGATTTCATCAAAAGGAACTTTCCAACAACCCCCTACTCCTAACCCAAGTCATGAACACAGTCCTGCACATTGAAGGCAACCAGATGTGCTAACTCTAAAACGATGATGTGGGAAACCCCATCGACGAAACCATCTTTTTCAACAATTTTAGGTTTCACCTCTAAAGGAGCTACAAATTTCTAAACACCACTTAAACTGAGTTTGTAAAAAGGCGATCTTATTGTCGCTGCCAGTAGGAGTTCATGTTGGCAATGTACGATGTATCTATCCAAGCTCGCAGCCGCCACTATAAAACAGTTCAAAATTATAACAGTCAATTTGCTTCTCCAAAACAACAAAGAAAACATTCCTCTTTACGGTCTACTTACATTGTTATTAGAGGATTCCATTTTCAACTCTAAAAATAGCGTCTGTCAAATATTCACCTACAATACCAAAAAAAGGCTGATCAACTTACTATTAGTCAAACTCCTTCCAAAATGCAAGTACCCATACCATGGAGTCAGGAATCCTGAACTCATCTTTAAAACATAGATTACACAATCAAACTCACAATAAACGGGAAAACGAAACAACCGCATACATAAATGGCGAAAGGAATAAATGGGAAAACACGGGTTCGCCATGAAAAAACCGTCGTCAAATCTCCAAAAAACGAAAACGAACAAGGGCATATAAAATACCTTGCGATTAACACTCACTCCAACCGTCCAACCAACAAGGGCGACGTTAAAAAAACCGCTCCTTTGAAGAAAATGTGACAACGCTTGCCCCTTCAATACACTTCCTCCCAACACTTCAATGGTGGACGGAGACAAAGGACTTCAATGCCGGACTTCAATACTTCCAAACACGATTTCGTAGGTCAACAAAGACCATCTCGATGGCGTGCCCAAAGTTCAGAATGGTGGACGCAAAGTTTGGGAGTTCATTTGGTGGAAGGCCAAGTTTCGAATGAATAACTTGGACACAGAGAGTTTTCGGAAGAGTATGGGCGCCAATAGGTTATTCCGAAAGTGCCCTCCAAATCAGGTTATTTACTTTTCAAATTTCCAATTAAAACAGCAAATCACACAACGCCACGTGTCGTTGTTAATTTGTTGTCAAATGGGCGTTGTCGAAGAAACATTTTCCTATTATTATATAATTTTATCTGCATGGCTTGAGTTTTTAATTATAAATAATGGTACATTTATCTTGGAACTCGAGTCTAAATAAAGGAAAGAATCCATTGATTAAATTATATTAAAATTGAGTTCTTTGAACCCTCTTTATAATATTAGTTACTTTCAATTGATAATAATGCAGGCTTTCGTCATCTCCTTGCAGTTTCAACAGCTTAATATATTTGTTAAAGTAACATTCATTACATTTTCCTCTCACATTAATAATGATAACGTGTACGATTTGGGCGAAATACTGGAGTATTTATCCTTTTATACATATTTAAAAATAAAACATCCTTGTTAGTTTATTGTCTTCTTAGTGAAATTGTGAAACCTGGCACCAAAATAACTGCATGTAGCTTACTCACACCACCATTTTTTAGATTTACCCTCCACCCCCTGCTACCCAAATAAAGGCATTGATCTTTGGTGCTACCGCGTCAAAAACTACATGTAAAATGTACTTTGGATGCATTATGAAATATGTATCTGCACAACAGTTCAGAGGCTTCGACCTTTGATCTTTGTGGGAGGAACAAATAAAATTATTAGAGGAAAGAGTTGATTAATTAAGAATTAAATATGTTTTTGGTTATTTAATTTTAAGTGAAAATTAAAAAAGTTTATTTTCAAAATTTTAGTCTAATTTAGTATTTTAACTTTAAAAATGTAAGAATTTAGTTATTTTAATTAAATTTTATTAAGTTTATTATTTGACAATATTTGTTTTAATATTAACTAAAAAACAAGGTTTGAAACATTTAGTTAAAAAAACTAAATTTATGTAATTCTAAAATTATATTATTAAATTTTTCCAAAATATAAAAAAAAACAATTTTTACTTAAAATTAAAGAAATAAAAATATATTTAACCCATTAACTAATAATTAATTAATAATGTACAAAGATTTTTTCTCATAAATTGAGAAAATGTTGAGCCCAAGAAGAGATGAGTGCAACATAATTGTTTTAGAGCATCAAAGTTGACGAATTTATTCCAATTACATGCTAAAATAATCTGCTTTTGATTCTCTTTATTTTTTTGCAAAAGATTACGAATAGGATTGTTTTATCTTTTATTTAAAAAGAAAGCGAGAGCCTTAACCATATGGTGGGTAAATAGTTACAGCAATGTTTCTAATTTCTAAACAAAATGAGTATACTAAATAACGAATTATATTAATTATATAGTCTAGACACTTACTAATCAAGCTAATACTAGACTTTTAATGATCAAACTAATACAATTAGTTGAGAAAGAATTAAAGGATATGAAAGGAAGAAAAATAGTTACATGTGCTCATTTCACNAATTAAATTTTATTAAGTTTATTATTTGACAATATTTGTTTTAATATTAACTAAAAAACAAGGTTTGAAACATTTAGTTAAAAAAACTAAATTTATGTAATTCTAAAATTATATTATTAAATTTTTCCAAAATATAAAAAAAAACAATTTTTACTTAAAATTAAAGAAATAAAAATATATTTAACCCATTAACTAATAATTAATTAATAATGTACAAAGATTTTTTCTCATAAATTGAGAAAATGTTGAGCCCAAGAAGAGATGAGTGCAACATAATTGTTTTAGAGCATCAAAGTTGACGAATTTATTCCAATTACATGCTAAAATAATCTGCTTTTGATTCTCTTTATTTTTTTGCAAAAGATTACGAATAGGATTGTTTTATCTTTTATTTAAAAAGAAAGCGAGAGCCTTAACCATATGGTGGGTAAATAGTTACAGCAATGTTTCTAATTTCTAAACAAAATGAGTATACTAAATAACGAATTATATTAATTATATAGTCTAGACACTTACTAATCAAGCTAATACTAGACTTTTAATGATCAAACTAATACAATTAGTTGAGAAAGAATTAAAGGATATGAAAGGAAGAAAAATAGTTACATGTGCTCATTTCACATTCCATTAATGTTTTACTCTTCTCTGTATTCTTCCTTCAATGATTCAAATACATCATTCTTTCCAAACTAAAAAATAAATGGTTGTATCACATAAAGATCAAGATGCCAATTTGTTTTCTACTCATAATGTGAATGAAATTTTTAAGTACTCATTGAAGTCTTAAGAAAAATGTTTCCTTTACTTGATAAGAATAATTTTTTTAAGATGTTTTAATATACAGCAATCTCATTGAAAGCATTAGGCAATTTCGATTTCAATTTAAAGAATGAAATTCATTATTCTCCTTTTAAAATTATTCCTGAAACGAATATTCGTGTCCATTCTTTCTTTTTCACTAGTTATAAATATGTTTTAACCTGTAAGAGAAAAAACTATTTTATTATGGCGGAACATGAATACCAAAAGTTAACCAATGGAAAGAAAAGGTACGTTGAAGTGTAGAGAAGAGTGAAGCGTGAGTAACTGTGTTGCCGTCGAAGAGTTTGTTCTGAGAGTGAGTTTTTTAGTGCAGTGTGTTATTTTCAATATAAAAAATGTTTACGATACAAACTCACCCTCGTCGTAACACCTAGCGTCAATCGCCGGCTTCGAGATTTGTTTTCTTCTCGTCGTAATCATTCGTTAAATCTTTCTTTCTTTTTCTGTTTCATCAATTCTTTGCCAAATTTTCTCCCAAACTCAAACAAAAATGCCTGAAAACTAACACACCTGCACATGGCTAATTCATCTCTCACTAACACTTCTCACTGTAACAGCAACATCATCATCGTTATCATCATCGCACTGTGCCATGGCCATCACGCCCTCCACCTCTCTCCTCTCCTTCCTCCAACGCCTCCAAAAAACCGCCTTCGAAGCCTTCGGCGGTACCGATTTCGATCCCAAGACCTACGTCGACGTGCCTCTTAAGTTCGCACTATCCGTCACCCAGGACGCGTTCCAGAAGCTCCCGCGTAACGCCAACGGCACCGTGGCGGCTGAAGATTTAAAACGCTTTCTAGAAGCCTACTTCGGAGGTGCAGGGGACGATCTGGTGCACCTTACCCCACACGATTTCGTTCGCGAACCGGAGGGTTTCTTGCCCAAGGTCAAACACCCTCAGGTGCGGGCCTGGGCCTTGCAGGTCCATTGGCTTTGGAAAAACTTGACCCGGAAAGTATCCGATGCGGTGCAGGCGCACCCGGACTTGCATACGCTGCTCCCTCTCCCCGGTTCCGTTGTCATTCCCGGTTCGCGTTTTCGCGAGGTTTATTACTGGGATTCTTACTGGGTTATTAGGTCCGTTTGTTTTTATTTTTTGTTTGTTCCTGCACTTAGTTATTACTACTGGGCCTGGGCCCTGCCCTGCTCACTGGGTTTTGTTTATGGGCTTTAGGGGCCTGATCGCGAGTAAAATGCACGACACTGCTACTGCTATTGTGACCAACCTCATTTCCTTGATAGAACAATATGGATTTGTTCTTAATGGTGCTAGAGCATACTACACTAACAGGAGGTACTCTCTACATTACTTAAATTTTATTATTATTACTATTATTATTATATTAACTGAATTTTATCAATTGTTTCTTCTAAGCTGGGAATGTTAACGCGTCATAAATATTTGGTAGTTATAGAGGTGTGGCGGTTTTAGATCGTGCAATAATAATTTGTTGTTTGGTTGTTATAGCTTAGATTTATATACCGTACATGGATTTGTAGCATGAATGAAGACGTTAAGTATGCCTTATTAAATTTCTTTAGATGACAAAGATGTAGAGGTGTCTATATCTTTTTCTATTTATAGTTCCTTCATTTCATTATATTGAAATGTAAATTTCACCCTTAAAAATAGTACTTAATGACTTTTGTGTTTCCGATATAAATACTTTACCTTTCAATATAACAAACTTAAAAATGCCACTCTTGCTTATATCTGGACCGCTCCTTTTTGAAATAAAAGGAAGTCATTGTATAATTCTTACCCTCAAACTGAAAAAGTGACTATAAACTTTACTATGATATTATAGCCAGCCTCCCCTTTTAAGCGCTATGATTTATGAGATATACCGTACCACCGGTGACGTGGAATTGGTTAAAAGATCTCTACCTGCACTACTCAAAGAGTATGAATTTTGGAATTCAGGTATTAATTACGCTAGAACTTTTTGCCTCGATCACTATTGTCTGCGGTTGGGTGATATTTGTAGTGTACCTTCTATTTTTTGGTAGGTTTACCTTTTGCTTCATCTTGTAGATATACATAAGGTGACCATTTTGGATGCTCAAGGTTGCACTCATACCTTAAATCGCTATAATGCAATGTGGGACAAACCCAGGCCAGAATCATCCATTAAGGTGTGTTTGGTTTGTTAACAACTGTGGTATTATTGAGATGGGACTTAAACTATAATTTTGGCTAATTCATGCCATAGGACCAGGAATTTGCTTCCAACTTCTCTAGTGTTTCAGAAAAACAGCAGTTTTACCGTGACCTGGCTTCAGCTGCTGAATCAGGATGGGATTTCAGCACTAGATGGATGAGGTAAGATTTTACATACGCTAAGACCTCCTAAAAGGGAAAAAAAATATGAAAATCATCTGAATAAATGTCTAGGTATTCAGATGCTCATAAAGTAACTCACAATGTTCATTAGGGGCAAGCCTAAGCAACACACTTTCAACCAAATGTTTAGCTTTTTCAGAAAAACACACATTGACTTAGGTCTGACATGATTTTTCCTTGTTTAAGAGTCAGGAATACTTACAGTTCAGTACAATCTTGTTCCTATTAATGCAGAAATCCGCCTAATTTCACAACATTGGCTACAACTTCCGTAATACCTGTTGATTTAAATGCATTTGTACTCGGGGTAAGTCTTATACTAATATCTAAAAGAAGACCTGAAATGTGTGTCTCTCTGCAACCTTATCAATTCTGTGATGCCCATTGGTTCAGATGGAACTTAATATTGCCTTCTTTGCAAAAGTTGTTGGAGATAATGGCACTGCTGAACGGTTCCTGGAAAATGCTGATCTTAGAAAGAAGGCAATGGACTCTGTTTTCTGGAATGCAAACATGAAACAATGGCTTGACTACTGGCTCGAAAATACATGTGAGGTATTTCCTGGAACCACATGTATTAATCTACCAGTAGGTGAGGGTTCTTCTGACTGTCCATTTGATACTTTTAGGAGGTTCATGTTTGGAAAAACGGGCGCCAGAATAAAAATGTATTTGCTTCCAATTTTGTTCCTTTGTGGATGAAACCATTTTATTCAGGTATGCTTAATGTGTTAACATATCAACTTTACTAACGAGTAATGAGAAAATTCAAGTACGTAAGCAGTTATCGCGATCATTGTGGTATCAGTTAAGTATTGGGGTTCAATCCTTATTGTAAATCATCAAGCTTGAACTTCATTCACACGAGGTTACCTTGAACACATTTATTCACGAAGAACTAGGCTCTTAAGATCATTTTCGGAAGTGTGGACAATTACACCGTTATAGACTTCTATCTCATCAGTTATGCTGTCCAATTATAGGTTAATAAGTGGCCCTACTGGTGCCAAATGCCAAATTTTAAAGTAACGTAGATTTCTAAGTGCTTACATTGAATAGTTGATCTCTGAACATGTGGCTAGATTTCTAAAGAGGTTGATTAGCATGTGATTTTATGAAATATTGCTAAAAGTCTGTTAAGCAGTGACAGTTTATTTTCATTGGTGTCATGTTAATTCAAATCTGTTTTTGCTGAATATAAAACTTTAGCACCACCAGGCAATGGCTAAATTGTTTTGAACTTGGGTGATATTGATCACTATGATGAGTTTACCTTTGTGAAACATAGAAGAAAAAACATTTTCCTGCATTTTAAGTTGATTACTAAATATGTTTTAATGTTTATCAAGACACTTCACTTGTGGCTAGTGTCGTTGAAAGTCTCAAAACTTCCAACCTTGTCCGTGCCGCTGGAGTTGCAACTTCTTTGACTGATTCAGGACAACAGTGGTAAGTAATATAAGCAGGGTGAGACTGGGTAAGACAGGTAAAATGTTTCACTTATCAATGATCCTTACATACTTGCAATAGGGACTTTCCAAATGGTTGGGCGCCGCTTCAACACATGCTAGTGGAAGGCCTTCTAAAATCTGGGTCGCAAGAAGCAAGGTCATTGGCTGAAGAAATTGCCACCAGATGGGTCACAAGCAATTATATCGTTTACAAGAAAACGGGCTTAATGCATGAAAAACTTGACGTTGAGCATTGTGGAGAATTTGGAGGTGGAGGCGAATACGTGCCCCAGGTATTACTATTTACAATTATGTTTTTCGTCAAGGGAAACGTTTGAGAAAAATATAATCTGACTTGGTTGACTGGAAGAAATTTGACTAGTGACATTTTCAGTATGGATGTTATTTTAGACTGAATGTTAGAAATTTTCTGTACGGACTTGTTATATGACTTATTTCAGAGAGAAAACAAGTAAATGACGTCTCTACCATCTTCGTGTTCCACATCAATCTGATTGGGTTGTTTTGCAATGCAGACTGGTTTTGGGTGGTCAAATGGTGTTGTGTTGGCATTCTTGGAGGAGTTTGGATGGCCTGAAGATCGGAACATAGAATGCTGATGTGCTCAGAAATTGAAAGGTGGACAAAAAATTATGCTGCAATAATGTACTTGTACGAGATATTTGCATGAGCGGGTGAAGAAAACTGGGTGAATAAATTCGTGAATAATTTTTTTTAATATAAAACTATATATTAGCTTTAAATTTTGTCAGTTTGGTTCAAATTTTTAATATAAAAGTAGTTAACCAAAATTATAAACAACTATGATTACAAGATTGTAGTTGGGCTTGATATCGTGTTACAGCAATAAGGCTACGCTTTTGCTTCTTTTGCTTCCTGCACCCCATCACTAATTTTAGTTCCTTTCCTGCCCTTATTTCTTTTATTTGAATAATATATAACGATGGGACAATAGAAGTGTGGGGTTTTGCTGCAGCGATGGTGGTGAATTCCTGTGGAGGTGGTGGGCATTTGCGTTTATGAGGTACGCTAAGAAAATTTTGACTACCGGATATTCTTTTCCGCTTTGTGATGAGGAAAAATATTTTCATTAAGAGGTTTTCGTTGTACATCTGACCGACTAGAGCCAAAAGTTTCTATTGACATGATTCTAACGATATATTAAATGGAAATGATTTTTTATCGAAGGTATTTTTGTAAAATAAATATATATGGTGTGGTAACGTAAGAAAGGGTTGACACAAACATGGGCCTATTGTTTAATGCAACTCGCGATGCCCATCATCAAACCTCAGAAGTCACAGCACTGAATTTAAAAGACGTAACAAATAAATAAATAAGCAACGAAGGAATCAAACTTGAAAAGGTTCGAGAGTCTCTTCTTCCATCTGTTTGCAAATTCATTAATCTTTGACGATAAAAACGATCTGGTGATACTATCTATATTTACAACAAAATATGGTGTGTATGATGTAATGGTATTTAATATTTTAGTAGTAGTTGTCAGGATTCAGGTGGTAAGTTATATTTTATTGAAAATATTTTGTACTGTTCTGGTTTTTTTATTTCTCGTGGGTGCTACGAAATACACTTTGAATCTGCAGGAACCAACTTAATTGGTCAATATATAGTGTGACCCCACTTTGGCACTAGTTTCATTTTATTTTTTCAATCCAAGACACTGCGTGTACCACATCCAAGAAATGAATAAGGTTATTTTTGTTACATAAAAGTGGTTACTTTTTAATGTTTCCGTTAACTTTCTCCGTTTGGGTTCACGAGTCAGAAAAACTTCGTTTGCGTTTCTGGCATGTGTCACCAACCATTCTCCCTTTCCTTTTACTTTTTTGGCATATGTTTGTGGAGATTTGCCCAACCTTAACTCACCAATCAACAAATGTCAGCTATTATTCGGTAATCAATCAAGGAATAGATTATACATTAAACAAACTCGGTGGATGGATGATTAGCATCACTAAATCATTTTATGGTTTATTTATGCTGATTAAGAAATTTCATAAACTTATTCCCAAAACCAAGGATGGGGGTCCTCCAAGATTCGACTCAAAACCCATGAAAGAGTGGCAATCATTGAAGAATTCTTGCATTCAAATGACTCCACTCAATAATTAAAACAAGCCAAATTAATGTGTTGTTTATGGGGTCTTTTATTATTATACATTTAGCCACCCTAGAATGAGTGAGTGAGTGGAAAGTAATTGCTCCAAATACCACAATTTAATATGTGATTTAGTTAATGGATTTTGCTTCTCCGGACTCGAGTCCCACAATTGATTGGTCAAACGAAGATGGCTACGAATCACTAATGACCCAAAGTAGTGCATAAGGAGATCGTAGACATATGTGATTCATGATTGTGGCATATTAAATAATGCACATCAAATCTAGGGTTTGATAGCATGCCTTGTGTTTATATGAGGAGACAAATCCAAGAGAAAGCCACTTTTAGCCACAACTAAACAACTTCTAACCCAGGTTTTAATCCTTTTTTAACTATCATATACTTTTGTCTCACCATTTTTTTACCCATTACCTCTGAAAACAATTCCATGGTTTTTATGATATTACATGCGTAGCCTAGTTCATATCGCATTCTATGGTAAATATATATAATGGGTCCTTTTAGCTCACAATTATTTTATGATCACACATTGTATCAGCAGGTTTTATGTGTTCATTGTACACAATGATGATAGCCAAACGTCAAATGCATGCTTTCGTGTTGCTCAAATTTATATCCATGGTCAAATCAGTCTGCAAAACAATGCATATTTTAAGTGAGTCGACTATGATTCATGTTGTTACATATGAACTCGATATATTAAATAGGTTTAACTCTAATTTTTCCTTCTATGACTTTTTTTCTATTCCATCAATCATTTCAAAATATTAGATCCACAACTCCCAAGTTATGTAATACTAGTAAACAATTCATGGATAGAAGTGGAAGAAAGTTTGCAATTACTCGTGAATTAAGCACATACTCTCTCTCTCTCGTACATTGACTCAATAAACTAATACTATTGGTTAGGGATGGCAACGGGTCGGGTCGGGCACGGATAGTGCCTACCCGCAATCCGACCCGACAAAAAAAAATCCACCCGCTATCCGACCCGCTACCCGCACGGATATCCGCTTAAAAAATATCCGCGGATATTTTAAAACTCGCGGATATCCGTGGATACCCGCGGATACCCCACAAATATTTAAAAAAATATATTTTTATAAAATATTATAATAAAATTTAAAGAAAATTACAAAAAATATATAATATATAATATATATTAAATTAAATATAAATTAAAATTTAATTTTAATTATATTTAACTTTATAAAATATAAATTAATGTTAATTTTAATTAAATTTAACGTAATAAAATATAAATTAAATTTTTGTTTTTATTTTTTGCGGGTAGCGGATATCCGCAGGTACGGATAGTATAATACCCACACCCGACCCGTTTATAAGCGGGTATTAAAAAACCCGCTACCCGCAACCCGCGGGTAGTAAATATCCGCGGGTACCAACTATCCGTCGCGGATTTTATCCGCGGATATCCGCGGGCGCGGTTTTTTTTGCCATCCCTACTATTGGTGTTAAAACATAGTGATCACCATTTAAATTATTTTTTATGCAATAACTTTTCTAATTGATAGTAATTAAAAGATGAAACTTACAACAAAAATTTTGCTAAAGTGGACACTGACTGGATTAATCTATTTACAAAAGATTAAGTACATGAAGAAGAGTATAAAACTTGCTTCTTTAAATAACTAGACTTCATCTCAAATTTGAATTTATTTATAAATTAGATTTTAGATTAATTTATAATTATTTATAATAAATTAATAAAATTTAGAGATCAATTGAGACACTAATTCATAAATTATTTATATTTTTTGTTTATAATAAAACAATTTAAAATATCAATAATTTTTAATTTGTAAAATAGTGTTTAACTTAGTTAATATAATGATTAAATTTTTTATCTTTAAATTTAATTATTATTGTGATTTTTTTTGGTAAGTGTAAGTTTTTTTCAACCTCATTTTTTTCTTCTAAAGATTTATATTAATAAGATTAATATCCATTAAAATCATTTTGAAATATATTATCAAAATTTTCACATTATAATACATTACAACTGCAAAATTTATAATATTTTTTAATTGCTCACCACCTTAAAATCTTTTTTTGAGAAATCATGTATATAAGTCATAAGATTAAGATTTAAATGTTGTAAAACTTCCCAAGTGTTTTATACTGGCGTAACATAAAAAAATAAAACCTTACATGACATAAATAAAAAATTATTCTTTTAACTTGAAAATTATGAGAATATATATAAGGTCTGTATATTTGAATAATGTTTTTCAAGAAATCCTAACAAATAATAATATAATGGAATGAAACCACAAAAAATAGAGAGATGTTTGTTATAATCTACTTTCACACCTTACATTAAATAATTTATATACACATTATGTATTAGAGAAAAAAGAAAAAAATGAGTACAATAAAAAGTTGTTTAATTATTTTATTCTAATACAAAATATTATACTTTTAGTTTCTATAAAATAATCCTTAGGAAAAAAAAAAGGAAGCAAGGGTGTAATATAAATTATTTGACGTACTTACTTAGATTCTTGTGCATTGTTTATCTCTCTTCCCAATTCCTTGCATTTACTATGTTTTATTTTATTAATCAACCGACAACATCCATTACTCACGNAGTTGATTACTAAATATGTTTTAATGTTTATCAAGACACTTCACTTGTGGCTGGTGTCGTTGAAAGTCTCAAAACTTCCGACCTTGTCCGTGCCGCTGGAGTTGCAACTTCTTTGACTGATTCAGGACAACAGTGGTAAGTAATATAAGCAGGGTGAGACTGGGTAAGACAGGTAAAATGTTTCACTTATCAATGATCCTTACATACTTGCAATAGGGACTTTCCAAATGGCTGGGCGCCGCTTCAACACATGCTAGTGGAAGGCCTTCTAAAATCTGGGTCGCAAGAAGCAAGGTCATTGGCTGAAGAAATTGCCATCAGATGGGTCACAACGAATTATATCGTTTACAAGAAAACGGGCTTAATGCATGAAAAGCTTGACGTGGAGCATTGTGGAGACTTTGGAGGTGGAGGCGAATACGTGCCCCAGGTATTACTATTTACAATTATGTTTTTGGTCTAGGGAAACGTTGTAGAAAAATATAATCTGACTTGGTTGAATGAAAGAAATTTGACTAGTGACTTTTTCAGTATCTGACTGGGTTGTTTTGCAATGCAGACTGGTTTTGGCTGGTCAAATGGTGTTGTGTTGGCATTCTTGGAGGAGTTTGGATGGCCTGAAGATCGGAACATAGAATGCTGATGTGCTCCGAAATTGAAAGGTGGACAAAAAATTATGCTGCAATAATTTACTTGTACGAGATATTTGCATGAGCGGGTGAAGAAAACTGGGTGAATAAATTCGTGAATGATTTTTTTTAATATAAAACTATATATTAGCTTTAAATTTTGTCAGTTTGGTTCAAGATTTTAATATAAAAGTAGTTAACCAAAATTATAAACAACTATGATTACAAGATTGTATTGGGCTTGATATCGTGTTACAGCAATAAGTTAACTACAAGTTATTTATATTTTTAAAGATGTACATGAAAGTAATTTTAATATTATATAAAAGACAATATGTCAATCTTTAATAAATTAAATAAATTATATATATTAATAAACTATATTTAAATTCATTCTTTTCATTAAATAAAATACTTTTTTATTTAAATAAATTTTTATCAGAATATTCGAGATCATTCTTCAGCTTTCCACACTCAGGTAGCTAAAGTTTAAATGTTTTTTACAGGGGACTTTAACGTAATTTTTGTCAAAAAGAAATAATTTATTGAGTGTTTCATCCTACACCTCCAACATCTCATCCTGCACCTCCAAAAATTCCATTTTTAACCTTCTGACATATGCACCTCCAACTTTTCAAAAAATTTTATTTTTTAATAAATATATTTTTATTTTCTTCTCTCTCTTATTAAAGACACTTTAATAAATACATTTTTATTTTTTTCTCTTTCTTATTAAAGTTACTCTGCACCATTTTAATAAGAATCTAATTTAATTTAAAATTTAAATATTATTTAATATAATTTTATATTTTAATAATTATTAAAATATAAAATTATATTAAATAATATTTAAATTTTAAATTAAATTAGATTATTATTAAAATGGTGCAGAGAAACTTTAATAAGAAAGATAAAAAAATAAAAATGTATTTATTAAATGTCTTTAATAAGAGAGAGAAGAAAATAAAAATATATTTATTAAAAAATAAATTTTTTTGAAAAGTTGGAGGTGCATATGTCAGAAGGTTAAAAATGAAATTTTTGGAGGTGCAGGATGAGATGTTGGAGGTGTAGGATGAAACACTCTAATTTATTTCAATAAATCACCACATACAATAAACCAAAGAGGCTCGTAAAACAATCAGAACTTATTAATTTAGGGTGGCGGAAAGTACAGAAGGTAGACCATTTTTTGAACTCCACAAACTAAGCTTTGGAACTAGGACCTCACTATCCCCAAGTCCACATTAATTCATTTTCAACACAAATAAGAGAAAAATTAAAAATAAAAACATGATAATTTTTTTTAAAATTTAAATGGGTAAAAGATAAGAATGAATAGGATAAAATTATTATTTATTTATATGAATGAAAACAGGAAAGAATGATAAATGTTGTAGCAGTAAATAAATTAATTTATTACAAATATAAAAATTGATATTCAGGTTTCTTCCCTAGTTCTGACAAGAATTTAGGTAAGAACCAAAAAGAAGGAAAGTAAAAATAAATAATAGAATAATAAAACAGAAAAAAAATAAATGTAAAAGTTAAAGATATAAAATTAAATTATTTGAGTATTTCAAATCTACACCAAAAATAATTATATATAAATTAGACAGTGATGAATTAAAATAACACTATTAAAATAATAAGGAGATATATGACTGTAAAAATAAAGAAAAAAATTGCTGAGGATAGTAGCAGTGTTAAAACTGGAAGAGTAAATAATAAGAAAAGAAAAGCGAAAATGAAAAATGGCATAAAATAAACAGAGAGTGAGAACCGGTTCCACTCCCTTGTCTATAGGAAAATAATACTTGAACAACTATTTTTGACAACATTTAGACACGCGCACACGTGTCAAAATCTGAGTGGTCTAGTTGGAAAAATTAAATGAAAATAGACTACTCAGATTTTGACACGTGTGCACGTGTCTAAATGTTGTAAAAAATAGTTGTTCAAGTGTCATTTTTCTTGTCTATATATAGTATCTCAGAGCCTCTACACACTTTCCACAGTTTATACCAAACTCCTTTCTCTGATTTTGAATGATGCAGACAGAGCCAACGTCTTCTCCAAGTTTCAGTGCTCACTCTTCCGACTCTTTCTTTCACATCGCTAATAGAGTCGTCCGCGAACACCGCAGCGACACCCACGATACTCTTTGCCAACAAAACGACGACGCTGACCCGGTCGATGACTTCGAGTTCTCTTTCGTTTTCGGTCACACAGACTCCTCACCTGCCTCAGCCGACGACATTTTCTGCAACGGCCAAATCAGACCTTTCTACCCTCCCTTCCACCATGACCCTGCGCCGCATCTCTTCTCCGCTACGTCCCTTCCCCTTGAAACGACACGTCGTCCGCGTTTGCCTTTGAAGACGCTGATGTTGGAGGAGCGAGAGACCGTGGACGGCAGCAACGATCTCGAAGGCGTGGCTGAAGGAACGTACTGTGTGTGGACCCCGCCCTGCAAGAAGACATCCGCATCGCCCAAGCGGTGGAGGTTTCGGGACCTTGTGCCTCGGAGTCACAATTGTGGTCAGAAGGACTCGCTTCTTTTTGTGGGTCCCTCTAAGAGGACCAGCAAGGTGGTGCCTAAGCATGCTTCCGCCCAAAACAGTGGTGGCGCCGCCGCAAAGCTGGTCGGATTTTTCACTAACGCCAATGGAATTGGTCGGAGTAATTTTCAATCATTTTCAAGCTAGTGCAGATTGAAGTGGATGACATGTTTTCGTGGGGTAACTCTGTACTTAATCTGGTCAATAATTAACCCAGTTTATCATTACAGGAAAACAAAAATGTATGGATGACTTAACATTTCATAGAGAAAAAAATGGGAAAATGACATTTTAATCATAACTTAATGTCTGTGATTGGGGGAAATGATTACCGCACTTCTATTCGTAACATCCTTTAAATTATTTATGTTTAGCTCCATATCTGAATTATGAGTATAGGGGGCAAGTCACTCTTATAAGTAGTTCTTTGAGTTTACATTGAGGAGTCAAGATTCTGTGATTTTCCTCGTTATCTAATCTTAGTTTACCAAGAGTCATTATGGAATTTAAGAATTTATTGCAATATTTATTTGTATAAAAAATACAAAGTGAATACATTTTATAGTATGCATATTGTAAAAGGGGTGAGATTTAATTGGGTAGGAAAAGGGCGCTTAGAAGACGGAGGTGGTGGAGGTTACGCGGCTTTTCCGCGCCCGTAACGGTGGAGAAGTTGGCAGTGAAGTGAGAGAGTATGGTCCGATGTGTGTGGGTCTCACGCGGCATAGACTCGGGGGTAAAATGGGCAATAGTGAGGAGTAGGAGAAAGTTTGGAAGTGTTTTCGCAGTGAGATTTAATTTGACATTTAGCGAAGATGTCATTATTATTTGCTTTTAATACGTTGGAGGGATCAAGGCTAGATAGAAGGAGAAAAAGTATCCTAATCTTCTCTTTTTTCTTCTTCGTTTCCTCGTCAACTTGACGCTCCAATCTGCCCATCACTTCATGCCTTTCGCATACCCCATCATACTTACAAAAATTCTTAAATCATAATTAATGTATAAATAATTAAACTATCACTATCATAGTAGGGTATGTAAAACAAATAACAATATAACAGTTTTAACCGTTTAAATTGATTTTTTATTATTAAAATTAAAAAACTACCTTACTAAAAATACAAAGCTACCGTTAAACTAGTGATGGGCTAGTAGTAGTACGCAGGTTTGCCAAACTTTACCCATCTTAGTGTTGGCATAAAATTTAGAATTAAATATAATTTTTATCCTATATTTTGCAAAATCCACAATTTTGGTACCAATTTTATTCTTCTGCTATTTAATTATTCATAATTTTTTTCTTTGAACTTCTTTTTTTAAACAATTTTATTCTTGTAATAGTTGATTATCTACATCTTTGTTTAACATTTAGTTCGATTATATGTAATTGTTTGTTACTTTGAATTCAACAAAGTTAGATAAAGAGAAAATACACATAATATTGGTGACTTTTTGACATGATTGAAGAAAGATGCAAGGAAAATGAATGTAATTTGATATTAATTTAATATATTTTTTAAAATTTTAAATTGTAAATAATTAACGATTAAGGAATTAAATTTACTTAAGGAAATAAAAAGTTAAACAAAATTACAAATAACTAAAATTAATACACTAAAATTAAAAATTAATCATAGATTGTTTGAAATATGAGAACCAAAAATTACAATTATCCTTAAAATCCTTAAATTTAATTATAATATAATGAGACTATAGAGTTTTATATGCTGTTTTCAAATCACAGATTGTCCGCTGTTTTTTTAAATAACTATAATCAATTGGTAATATACAAATATTTAAATTAACAAGGAAAACTGAACTTATATGTAAGTTAGTTACCTTAAATTTAATTATATTTTTAAGTTTTTCCATAAATACTAGTTAACGTGTAATTAGCTTAATTAATTGTTTATTTACGTCAGTCTCTGATCCTTTTTTCTTTTTCATGAATTATAGTGTTTAAATTTCACTTATTCATCTAAATTATAAATTATAAATTCAAAATGTTTGCCTCTTTTGAATGCTGACCATGTAATTTCCATATGGAAACTTTGATTATTTCGTAAGTGTGGTTGACGAATGTAATGACACATTTGGAGTCACTTTCACATACTTGTTTATTATGTATACTTTGATTTGACCCAAATCAATGCTACTCCATTTAGGGAACTTATCCCAATCCTTGGGTGGAACAACCAGCCATTCTCAGCCCTTCACCAGACCATCATTAAGGTCTTACAATTAATTTCAACAGTATAGAATTCTTAGGAAGTTGTTTTTTTGACATTTGTGTAGTTAGATTTTAATTTTGTTTTAGAAAACAAGATGATTTTTCATAATATACTATATTTCTTTTATGGATTTATTAGAATTACTCATAGGTGTCACTTTTCTTCAACTAACTACCGATGTGCTTTTAACTCATTCAATTATCCTTGATCAAGAATTTAACTAGTAAGATGCTAGAATAGTAATATTTGCTTCAAATCTATTTTGATAATAACTTTTAACCCCTATTTGTTCATGAACGCAAAGCATTAAATTTCAAGACTTGGAAAATGTAAATTGAATCCTTTGAGCTAACTCAATATTCGAAACTTAAAGATAAATGTGTAACTTTATGTGGGTTGAATTTAGCTTAGATAATGAATGTTGAAGAGTAGGAGTTATGCTAGAAAATAATTTGCAAATAAACTTTAAATGTAAACCCTAAATGCATATCGAAAAATGGAAAGGAAAATAAAATGATTAAAAACTAGTTAAATATGAAAACGATGCACTTCATTCTTGTAACATATCCAATAAACCTTTCCAATTAGACTCACACATCACTTTGCAAGATCTTTAATCTCATATATCATGATAAATAACATAACTCTGGCCTAAGATGGGGAGTGATAGACATGCTAATTTGGTTTAGTTCACCGTTTGGTTCAAGGAAAAAAAGTTTATAGGTTAAAAAAAGAAAAAATATATATATATATATATACATATAATAGTTTACATATAGATAATGTCAAAAAAAGTTTTACGAGATACATCAATCTATGGATTATCTTTTAAAGTATAAAATTTTATTTAAAAATAAAATGAAAAAAATACTTAATTATTTATATGAAAAATAATTACTCAATTCAAAAAATTCAAATTTGATATAAAAAAAGTTAGATTAGACTTAAATGAAATTGAATTAAGAGCTCTAAATAATTATGACACCACATGCAAAACTCGTTACCCATTAGTTTCCATTTCTTTTAAAAATACAACCAAATCCAAATGTATTAGTATTATACAGAGATAGCATACCTATTAAAAATATGATAAAATTATAATATACAAGTATAAAAATTTAAATATTGTATTATATATTATTTTTATTACATTCAATAGTTTCATATGACTTAGAGTCCAGTCTAAGAAAAAAAATACTTTTATCTTAAGATGTTTTTTAAAAATAAAACCATGATAAAATTCTATATTTCAAAGTAAATAATACTTCAAATTAATCATGATGATTATCTTTAATTATGTTGTTTGACAAACTTAGGAAAAGAAAATTGATGTTCCATTGATAATCATTCTCCTTAAACCTTTGATTGGAATTTATATTTCAATAATGTTTAATAGTCCTATATCGTTTAAAGTCAAAATCTAAAACAACTTAAATATTCCCTTCACTCCCTAAAACACCTTTTAAAAATAAAATCATAGCAAAATTCAACATTTTAAAATAGACAATATATATTCTAACCATATCACTTCACATCCTTTTGATATTAGAATATAAATTAATTTTATAAAATTAAATTAAACACAAAATATCTCACAGCATAAAATCATAACTATATTAAAAAATCTTAAAAGAATTCGTTTAAAATTATCGTATCACCGCTATTAGATTCTGTTACAAATATCTAAGTTCATTCTCCAAATGTACATGCATAAACAAGAAAAGAATTTAGCAGGAGAAACCATTTAAATGAAGAATTTAATATTTTTCCGTGGTATAAATTTTCGAATCCAAGGCCATCCATTTCTACGGCTACTAGGAATAAAAGCAAGTAGCCAAACATAAGCAGTTGTATTTCTGACAGAGTATGTATGTAGTCTTCAAGAAGGAGCCGCATAACATTTAAAGAGTAAAGATGATTGAATGGATAAATACAATTTAAATTGATAATAAAGATGGAATGAAAAAATGTTTGGTTTAAAATTTAGCTCAAAGAAAGTATAAAACATGATTTATAATTTATAATAAAAAACCAAAACTCCGTTTAGAGAAAATTAGTAACTAAAATCATAAAAATGAAAAATTAACATAATGAAAAAGAAAAGAAAAAGAAAGAAAGACGGAACTGGACAAATAAGATCCAAAAACAGGAGAATGTCCTCTGACGAATATATACGTCTTCACTATTATTTGCGAATAAAATCACAACATATAATTAATACTTGTAAGTATTTATTATTTATTAGATATTTTAATATTTATTTATAAATAAATTGTTGTGAATTAATTATATTGTAATGAATACTTTTTATCTTTTATTTGTAAAAATTAAAATTGAAATTTAATTTATATTTTACTAAATTAAATTAAATTTATAAATATTTTATATTTTATTTGTAAAAATTAAATTAAATTTATAATATATATTTTTTAAATATATGCAATATCATATTTGCTAGATTTTTAAAATTCACGTTAATATTTTAAATATGTATTTGATGAATAACGAGATTGACAAAGATAAAGAGTTACAATTTTTTAGGTGAAATAGTTATAAAAGTAGAGTGTTTCATCCTACACCTCCAAGATCTTATTCTACATTTCCAAAAATTATTATATTTTTAATCTTCTAACATCTGATTCTACACTTACAACTTTTCCAAAAATTTTATTTCAACTTTAATAAAAAAAATCATTTTCTTTTCTTTCTTATTAAAAGCATTCTTCACCACTTTAATAATAATTTAATTTAACTTAAAATTTAAATATTACTAATATAATTTAATATTTTAATAATTATTAAAATATAATTTATATTATAATAATAGTTATATTAAAAACTTAAAAATAAAATAATAAAAATAAATAGTAATAATAAATTTGATTTAATATATTAAAATATTAAATTAAATTAAATAATTATTAAATTTTAATTAAAAACCAAAATTTTAAAAACTTGTTTATCATATATTAAAATCCATAAAATATGATAACACTTTTGCTTTTTTATTTAAAATTTAACAAATAT